CACACACACACACACACACACACACACACACATACTTGTATTGCTATATGTACCGAGGACTTCATTGGATTAACTTTTAATAGAGTTGAATTAACTTTTAATATATATATGATATGAACTCGATTAAAACGCATTTCCTATATAGAATTGCGTTTTATTTAATGTTTAATTAAGGTATAGATGCAGGTTCGAGGGCACATGAGAGTGAATTTTCTTTTTTTTTGCTTTTTATTATCCAAACAGTCTTGGCTATAGACTGTTAAAATTTCACAGCATTGTGAATAGTGGAACATACTCAAAAGACGATTTTAAAATATAGAAACTGGTACAAACATTCTCTCTTTTGAATGCTTAGCAAGATTTAGCAAGGCTGTACATAAATAATCAAAAAGAAAAAAAGTAATGACGGGATCTCCATATTATGCACTACGTTTAACTTTTTACAAAACAATAATAGGTTTAAATTTGGAACTTTACAGCCATTTTAATTATGAGCATGAGCAAACTTCTTATTGAGTGAATGGTTATGCAAATTAGCCATTATCTCCACTTGTGTTTTTCAGTTTATAGTCAATCCCGGTCAGTATTTCACACTTCGAATGTCATTGTCCGAGAATGCAAAGCTTTAAAAATAAGCCCAGACGTCCTTTTGTTCGTAGAGACGTTGTCAAAATAGTGTGAAAATGTCAAGACAAACTGACAAAAACTGTGGGAGCTAATTAATTTTCAATCTCTCTGACCAACCAGAAAACACGAACGGAGATAATGGCCGTTTTATGAAAGTGACGTTAATCCTCCACAAAAATGGCTATTGCATCACGACGACATGCCAAAATCCATCATACACCGACGCTTGCTGATGTTCAATCGTAAGATAAAAAAATAAAATAAAAATATTTACAATACTAGGAAAACGGACGTAAAATCGTCCGCTGAGTCAAAACCTTTCGTGAAAACTGTCATGGCGTCGTGTTATCATTTCCATGAGGAGGGACACAATGGATTACGTAAAACCGATGAGATATTTATACAGTTATACAAACATAGCGATCCCCATTGGGTGGGTTGAGTCTAAATTTACCTTTCCTCAAACCTTTAACAAATACTCTGTATGACGCAGTTTTTCACGATCTCCGGTGAAATGGATCGTGCAAAGTTAGACGGCCAGGTTGAAATGGGCCGTAATATTTTGCTACACAACGGCTATTCACAGTTTTTGTACTCAATCGCTCAAGTCGAAATGGAAGACAACTATTGTAAAACGAAACAGGTTTCATTCAACTACGAGCAGACGCGATGGGTCGATAAAAGTTAAAACGAACCCTGACCTCTGGAAATACCTCATTCATAGAGTGCCATAGTACCAGAGGTCGCCGAGCACGGCCGTACAACGTACTTTGCGACATCGCTACAGATGCATGCTAGCTGACAAGGGGGTTCCCGATTAGGGTAACCAAGATGGCATCGCAGAGTGCGTGATTTTTCCCGCGGTGTTTAAAAACAGCATCTCGTTGCCGATGTTTCTGTAATTTTCAGGGTATTTTTTATTTTTAAGTAACCGAGCATTTCACGTTTGTATATTTTGCCACTGAAAAGTTACAGTAGTTATCGATGACAGCACAGCAATGGTCTGAATGGTGTTTATCCACTACTACATCGCAATGCTATTAGCACGGTGATCGTTACAGCAAAACGACAAATGTAAAATTAGTCAGTTTTATAATGCCTTCGGAGAAAAAAATGCGTGAAAAAAAATATTTAACAGTACTCCACTGGAAGCTGCCAGGCTAGAGGTTGTCGACATGTTGCGAGATAAGGGTGAAAAAGTTTACTTATCATTTACAACTGTATGTTTTTTGTATTCCGCTTGCATGCTGGAAGCGCCTACGTCTTGTCTTTTTTTTGTAGTTTGCAAGACTAGTTGGTAGCGCTTGAGGTAAGTTAAACAGGGTCGCGGACAGGAAGTTACACATCGCCGCACCGTAACTGAGGCCAGCAACTCATTTGCATATAACATCAACAGTGACTTGTCAATCAAAGAGCAACATAAACAAACTTTCGGGACTTTTAATCACATACGCGTGCCTCGATTTCCTATATTTTAAAATCCATTTTTTGGCATGTTCCAGCATTGACAATGCTCCGAAATTTCAACACTATCTAGCCAAGACTGTCTGGGTAAGAAAAGCAAAAAAAAAAAAAAAATTCATTCCGAGTGCCCACGAACATGCATCTATACCTTAAATAAAAGTTGATTATCCCGAGACTGAACATAAAAATGTTTGCGAAGCTTAGGTTTAATTAAGGGGGAAGCTATGGTACAATTATAGTAATATTAATATAAACTATACCATATTGTCCCCCTTTACTAAACCTAAGCTACGCAAAACGTATTATTAATCAAATTAATATAATTTATGTTTACCAAGGACTATGAAAAAGGTCCTCGGAAAGTGTGTGTGTCTGCAAAAGTTGGTATGTATCTGTAATTTTGTCCTCGCAACATATAGCAATCCAAGTACACACACACATACACACACACACAGAAAATAACTGAAATATCCCCTGTGTAGGAAAGTACACAAAAATGAATTGTCTGGTTGTGTCACACATACAATTCAAAACCACTTTAGGTTGATAAATATTTTTGAATTCTGTAAACTGTCTAAATTTTGCTGCTAGTATATGATTTATGGCATTTATGAAAGACAAAATTTTACCAAAATTACTGTCATATGACCCAAAATTTTCACTGCTACAAAAATTCTTGATTTTTCACACTCTCAAGAAATTCCCGAAATTTGTACTGTGAAGTTAGAGTAGTTTGGTTGCAATAGAATGGTAATGGTCAAACTGAAAAATGAAGTATAATATTACACAACAAGAATACTGTCTGTATATAGCCCCAATGAGATTTGAAAGAAGCATGGTACCCTAATAAATACAGATAGAAGATTGTTGACTTACAGGTTGACAATGTCCAGCATTCTTAGGATCATGAACCAATATAAATCATGTGACTGATCATTCTTCAGTCACCAACCAATCACAACTTCTGTAACTAATCATTTTCAAGTCAGAAACCAATTACAAATCTTGTGCCTGATCATTCTTCATTCAGCAACCAATCACAACTTCTGTAACTAATCATTTTCAAGTCAGCAACCAATTACAAATCTTGTGTCTGATCATTCTCCAGTCAGCAACCAATCAAAACTTGTGTAACTAATCATTCTCAAGTCAGCAACCAATTACAAATCATGTGCCTGATCATTCTCCAGTCAGCAACCAATCAAAACTTGTGTAACTAATCATTCTCAAGTCAGCAACCAATTACAAATCATGTGACTGATCATTCTTCATTCAGCAACCAATCAAAACTTGTGTAACTAATCATTCTCAAGTCAGCAACCAATTACAAATCATGTCCCTGATCATTCTCCAGTGCAACTCTCTAATTTGTTGACAAAGACAGCTGTCTGATCCTGTTTTTCAGTCATTGTCAGAAGTAGTGAGGAGTTTCTACACTATAAGTGAACATACATGTAGTCAACATAGTGAACTTGCTATGCTATAATAACAGATTAATATACGGCTAACATGAACTCATGCAAGAATGTAACTATCTGTAAAACCCCTTTATTACTGTATAGTTATTCTTCTTTCAGCATCGCAGGAATGTCAATGGAAAGACTGTGACTATGTCTCTTCAGGGAGCTCTAATGATTTAGTTAAGCATACATACTTCCATGCTTATCATACTAAACTTAAATGGTATGGTCTGCAAGAACAGACGCGATGTAAACTCAATCCATGCCAGTTAGATATGCAGAGTAGAAACCTTATACCTGATTTACCGGAAAGATTTCAATGTGACTGGCATCAGTGTATGGTGAGTTATTACATGATTTCTTGTTTTCAGTTTAGTAAGTATTGGGTCAGCACATTAGCAAATTTGCTCATTAATTCCGTGACAACGTTTGTATTGACTAAGTCAGCTTTGATCGACACAAAAACATTTGCATACAGTTCTGTAAAACTTCATATTCAAAACCAAAGTCATTGGAAAATTAGTGAGCAAGTTAATCAACTTTGCTGCTCCAATACTTCTGAGATTTGCTGGAAAGTGTTACTTCTTTGGCAGTCCAGTTTTTTAATTGATTGTATGTTTTTTGGGTGTGTCCAATCAGATCTACATTAAGCTCATAATGCAATTTGGACAATAAACATAGTGATATTACAATTGCTATGTTCCAGTTTGTGGATGTTGCCTTCAACAGTATTTGTTTGAAGCGTACAGAACACATTGAGAAACTTAGCAGTGGTTGGCTGCACCAGTCCATATTGTGGACTACCGATAGTAATCAACTACAGTTAAAGTTGTTGTAAACTGCCTGTCAATAATGTAAATGGGGAATATCATGGTAATACTCGCTGAATAACTAGCAATGTTTCAGTTGTGTATGTAAAATGACAACTTCCAGCGGGCTGTATATATCTGAATCATTTAACCGGTTTGGAAATAATCACTATTTTTTGGGGGTCACAAAGTTGCTGGGTATAGTAAATATAAACATTGCAAAATGCAAAAGGGGAAATCATAATCAAGTTTAATTTTAGCAGATTTGATGTTGCGACATATTCCTTGGATTTCACTGGATTATGAAGAAAATAATACATCTTAATTTTAAACTTGAATATTCACTGGGTTTTAATTCAGCACATTCAACTGCCAGCAAAAATAAAACACAGCAAATGTCTGGATTGTTGATTTTCATCAAGATATCGAGGTATGTATGGGGGTCTAAAAACTAACTCTGCAATGCGATTGTGCGACTCGTCGAATGTCGATTATTGCACTCTGCGACAGGATTGCAGTGTCATTCTGCGAATAGCACGATTCCCATTGGTTGGTTGGTCGAAAAGCGCGAATCCCAATGGTCGATTGATGTATAGGTACACCACACGCCTTTAGAAATGTTCAGTTTTAAATGGTTATTTTGCCGACTGCCAGCGAACTATGGTAAACAAGTATTTACTGATGACATGCCGCACTGTTCGGTAATCAGAAGCATTTAACATTGATTAATTAACATATATAACATCCCCTGGATGGGGATGAAAGGGGTTACAAAACACATGCAAGTTGGTGTTGGGTGCCTTATTACGGTGTAACATCAGGGAGCTGGTAACATTAACGCCATCTTGAAGTTGTAAGGCTTCATCCGCAACTATGCTCATTAGCATAGGCGGCAGCTTTAAAGTGAGTAAAACGGCAAGTACGTTTCACACCATGTTACGTTCTTTTTTTGTCATTAGCAAGTATTGTTATGACTATATTTGTCACTTTAAACTACTATATTCATCACTTTGAACTCCCAAAAAAAGCGTGTAGCGGGTCAAACTGTTTCTAGGCAATCAATATCGTTTTATTAAAAATATTAGGAGAGAAAAAAAAACGTAAAGCTGTGTGATTGGATTGAAACTACTGCTGTAGATAAAAAAATAAAACTGCAGTGTCAACGGAAAATTAGATGGGTCCACGGTCTCTGGGTAAATGGAAACGATGGCTTTGTTTATTTGGCCGATGTCGATGAGCAACAGATTTCCTGTACTCACTTCCTCGCCTGATCACCAGCCCTCAACAGTGTCGTCATCGATTAAGTAGTTGAAACTCTTTCGCGTTGATGCGAATATTTCAGCCTAATCGTCCCTTTCGAACCACTCGTAGGGTTGGTCATAATATGACCTAGACGTGCTTGCAGTCTGTTGCGATTCCAATGATAAATTCTTGAAAAATAAATATTATTTGCGTAAACAGAGGGGGGGCGAAAGTCCTGTTATTTTTTCATCGACATCACAACAGTCTGCAGGCAAGTGTAAATTAGTAAATATGACCCTGAGTTGCAGATTTTTCTTTACCTCATCTGTCATTGGCATCTTTTCTTTCTTTCTTTTCATTGTCATTGCGTTAGTAAGATGGTATTATTAAAATAGAATATAGACTTAGAAAATAAAACGCCAACAACAGAGTATTACTGGTAGTATAGATATACATATTATAAACATTGTGCAAATATTAACGAAACGGTAGTATTGTTAGCATTTAGTGTTAGCACTGGTCTTTCCGAAATTTCAAAAAGCTGGGATGATGAATCAAGGTACAAAGTAACCGTTTTATCAATTATTGAAAAATCAAAAAAAAATATGGACCACCGAAATTTGGCTTTCATTTGAAAAAAAAAACCCATAATTTTCAGTAATACTGACTTTGAAAATTATGATACAGAAATAATTACATTCATACCACAAACCAACGCCGTTTATGTTTACTTTTCACAACTGTTACAAAGTATTTTATTTCTGGTGGTTAAAATACCAGCTGATCGATCATAGATCACAAGTTTGGAGTCTGTTTATGATCTAAACGAAGGCAGACGATTGCAAACAACTGCTGTCATGGTAAAACGTTGCACATTGTGAATGATTTTTTTTTTAACTGCATGCAAATTATTTTCCTTGATGCACTCAACAAACTTAAAGCTGACGTACAACATTCGTTGCAGAATGCATGAAAAGCACTTCCCGTTCCACTCGCTTTGAAGCTGCCGCCTATGCTAATGAGCATAGTCGTCGGGACGAAGCCTTACGACTCCAAGATGGCGATAATGTTACACCGTAAATGGGCAGTCAACACCAATGTGCATGTTACACTATTTGGGATTCACGCTTTTCGACCAACCAATGGGAATCGGGCCCTTCACAGAGTGACACTGCGATCCTGATGCAGAGTGCAATAATCGACATTCGACGAGTCGCACAATCGCATTGCAGAGATAGTTTTTAGACCCAGTAATATACATGAGATAACCCAGTCTCTCCCCACAAATTTCTCACTGGAACTTTCTCTTACACCTGTGTGACAAAGTCACAGTAGCACAGCAGTGAAAGACTGTCTACCAATGGTAATACTCTTCAACCAATATATTTTCATTTGTAGCAACGTTATCGTCAGAGTTCTGAACCAAAGGTTTGTCTAAAGGCCAAAAGAGTTGCATTTTAAGAATTAAGTTTAAATGTGCCTCTAATTCATTTTTTGGTCTGTATGTTATTCATTTGGAAATGTGCTTTGAGTATAAAGGAAATATGATATTAAAATTGTATAATTTATGTACTTGTTTTTCAGTACCATGTGGATAATCCAGAGTATTTTTACAGGCATGTTGAGATGCACGCGATGACATCTGAGCCTATTGTGTTGTCAGATAATTCAGAGGGTGTGGTATGCAGATGGGGAGGTGAGTTATATGCTGTGTGGTATGCAGATGGGGAGGTGAGTTATATGCAGTGTGATATGCAGATAGGGAGGTGAGTTGTATGTAGTGTGGTATGCAGATTGGTAGGTGAGTTATATGTAGTGTGGTATGCAGATTGGTAGGCGAGTTGTATGTAGTGTGGTATGCAAATGAGAGGTGAGTTATATGTAGTGTGGTATGCAGACTGGTAGGTGAGTTATGTAGTGTGGTATGCAGATGGGGAGGTGAGTTATATGTAGTGTGGTATGCAGATGAGGTGAGTTGTATGCAGTGTGGTATGCAGATAGGGA